AATTCAAAATCAATAATGTATGGCATTCGGGGGGTTCGATGCCATTTCAAAATCAATATTTTGCTTTGAGTGTGCTATTTGTCTACTGTACTATAGTTTTCTTGTATTTTTTTAAAGATTTATTTATTTATGCATATAGAACTGGGGTGCAGGATGCAGGCCAGAGGTGCAGGGATGGCGAGAGAATTCACCAGACAGAGTGGGGAGCAGAACAAGCAGCTCCACAAAGTACACTGCTGAGGGGAGCAGCGGGCGGGTCACGAAAGGTCTGCCGCGCCATGTGGTCACGAAAGGTCTGCCGCGCCATGTGGTCACCTCCAGGGCTGGAGATAGAACTCGCGCTGAAGCGGCTGCAGGCCTCTGGCCTGTACCCCAGTTTTGTATGCACAAATAAATAAATCTTTAAAAAAAAATTCTCAGGTGTCATCTTCCAGCAAGATGCTGAAATATATAAAGGTTCACTGGTATATTGTAAATTAGTTATCTTGTGATACTATATCATCATTCCTTGACTTTTCATAGCACTGAACCTGATATAACACCCTAAGCAGACTGGAGTGGTTATTTGTACATAGTAACTCTGCTTTTCACAGTGACAACCACAGATTTTTACCCTTACATGTGTATACCTTTGCCGTAATATATATTTCCATAAAAATCTAACATTTATTGAGTGCTGACTATGCACTAGTTTTCTATCTTCTTTTTATTTACCTGTATTTCTGCAAATGGAATGTGTCACTTGTGTAATGTTTAAAGTCATATATTTGCAGGCGTGTTCAGTTTTAATATACTATTACCTGAGACAGGGGAATGGATAAAATGACTTCCTAAAGGTCAAGAATTTGCTATAATTTAATCCCCCCCGATAGCTAACAAATAGTTCACTTTGCTGTTCTAGAAATACTTTGTGATACATGGGCACTTATTATTGTTTTTCTCATCCTCATACATGGCAAGCTGTTTAAACATCAGATTTTGTGGGTTCCCAAACAGAGGTGCCATTTTCAATTTACACTTACCCTGAAATATTTTCTGAAAGCCCAGGGATCTTTAATGCTTTCTAAGAGAACTATTTCCCTAAAAGTTCTGACTTTGAATGATGTGTTAGAAACAGATACAGAAAGAACTAAAAGAGCATAGAAACATTGAGCGACAGGGAAGCAGCCTGCAGGTCTCAGGACTCTTTCCCACCTAGAACAGGGGTAAACCGCAGGGACGCCTTCCCTCTGCTCCCTACAGGTGTTCTTTCTGCCTCTTGGCTGGTAGCTCCCACTGTATAATCCTGACTACAACCCTTGAATCACCCTCTGCAGCACCCCAAACCTTCAATCAGTTGCCAAATCCTCTAACTTCGCCCCCCACATTTTCCCTCTCTGTGCCTTTCCATTCACCCTGCTGCTCCCATCCCAGTGCCATTCCCTGCTTAACCTCCTCCTTGACTTCAGTAAAAATCTTCTCTACTAGTGACCTGGCCCCAGCTCTCTGTTCTCACCTTTTGGTCTACCTGCTTCCACTTTGTTTACTTTGTATTCATTCTAATCCCCACCACTCCTGCCTCCCTCTCTGCCAGAATCCTCAGGAATTCTCCTAGCTAACACTGCAACCTTGATTTCCATCACATCCTACACCTGTTCCACATTTCAGCAACTTGCAATCTCAGGATCTTTTGCATCTTCCACCTGTGGATCATTCCTCAGGCTCTTCCCTCTGTCTAGAAAGTAAACTTCCTCCCTCTCTGCCTACTGAAATTCTACTGATTATTCCAGAAGCAGGCCAAGTGCCAGCTGTTCAAATACATATCGATCGCCATATTGCTACTCCTGCTTTGGTTTCCACATGTTAACCTCGTGTATCATTGATATGCCTCTGTGTACCAATATCGTTGCCTACCAATACTTCGTGGCACCTATGAATCACCAAGGATATATACTGAGCACTTTCTATGTGTCATCTAATCCCCACAAGAGCATAGAGATAGGCATTTGCATTCCTATTTTATAGATCAGGAATCTGACGCTGCCGCAAGTCCATTAACTTTCAGAGTGCCATCCTTACTAAGGGGCAGAGTCCTCATTTAGTCAACACGTTTTCTTCCACTCCATGTCTGTCAGATTCCTAAACCCTATGGTTTTTTCAGTACAGAATGGCAAGTCCCTCTGGGGGCAATTAACACTGGAGCCACCAGACAAGGCAGATGAGTTAAAGGCAGTTGTGTGCTCCTCAGCTGATTTCGGTGCACCGTGCTATGGAAAGGTTCCTCACTCTCCCTCAGCATTTAGCCAGGGCACCACAGGCCTAGAGTGGTGACTCATGAAGACAAACACTATCCAGGATGTTTAGTTCCAGTGGCGACACTGATTATTGTAAAACTGTGAAAGGAACACCCAGCTCCAGCTCCTGGTTAGAACCCCGAGGCCTCAGCTTAGGCCTCTGGGCTAAGTCTCACTGCTTCCTGATTAGCGCCACTGCTTCCTGCCTCAGCTTTCAGAAACAAGGTTTGGACATCACTGTTCTTATTAGGTTGGCCTTGGCCTGATAAGAGGCCCTGTCATTCATACCTCATGTGAAATCATAGGAAAGTAAGAACAGAGAAGGGGGTAGTCTACCCTGAATTGGCTCTTCACCATTTACGATTGGGAACCCCCAAACTTGTTGGGTCAGTTCATACTGCCAAATGAAGAATACTAACACAATTCTCTTCCTTATTGTTTTGAAGTTGTGGTGTTCAGCTGCCACTGTTTGCTCACGAGGAGTGTAAATAGGGCTTGCTGGTGCCTGTGGCTACTGAGCCACTTTCACTGTGTGGGGTGTGGATCTAATGGTTAAAAAAAAAAAAAGCTATGGGGGGAAAAAGGCTAGGTGACTCTAATTTGTGTTCTGCTTGTATCCTCAAGCAATCCTTATCAAGCTAGGAGTTGAAATACCCATTCCTCAGACCCAAAAACTGGAAGTTAACTAACAGGCAAGGGCAAGGTATGTCGAGCCCCACAGCTTTCCACTGCCCGAAGCTCATGCTCTATGGCCAGACCTTTTGCTTAGGCAAAATGCTAGTCACTTAAAAAAGACAGAAAGCAAAATCATACACGAGTTAGAATTCTCCAGGATCAATATCCTGTCTGCCCTCCAAGCCAAGATTTTATGAAGTGTTTCATTTCTTAAAAGTTTCATATTTTTCATAATTGATAAAGATCTCAACCACAATGGTAGTTGAACTGTAAGATTCTTACCTTCTACTCGGGAGGACTTCTAGAGGATTGTTAGGCAAGTGGGCTTGCTTGGGAGAGTTATCTCAGTTTGTCAGACCACAGGCCACCAAGGCCAGGGAGCCAGTCACTGACAGGACCCTATTCTCAGTCATCTTTTAAACAGATCAGCAGGGGCCTCCCTGATGGTGCAACAGGTTAAAGCTTCAGCATTGTGAAGCTACCTACAGCTATTGTAGAGCATGAGTTCAATCCCCCGTGAGGGAGGTGACCCCCCCCCCCGCCAGAGAGGTGACCCACATGGAGCAGCAGACCTCTCCTGACCTGCCTGTTGCTCCCCGCAGCAGTATATTTCAGTTGATCCACCTGTTCTACTCCCCACTGTCTGATGAATCCTCTCACCCCCCCACCTCTCACAAGAATTGTACCCCAATTCTTGTATGCATAAATAAATAAATATTTTTTAAAAACCAAACAGGTCATCAGGTGGCTTGGTAGAAATGCCTCAGTGGGAGTGCTCAAAGTTATCACACATCCCACCCATGGGGGGGAGGGGAGATGTCTTTTGCATCCCAGGCATGAGTGAAGTCAAACATCTTTATTCATCAAAACTTCTCTCCCCACCCCACTTCAGCATGACCTGTTATGCAGCAGACAACATCTTTAGAAGAATGTTATTTCCACATGGGGCAGGGAAGTACGTGTTCTTGCTACAAGTTGTTGCTGACAATTAAAACAAATATTTTGACCTCTTCAAACCTGAGCCAACTATGACATTTGGGATTACTTTTACAGGACCAGGCTGTTGATGTGTTCTAAAGTCTCTCACCTTTTATAGAGATAATAAAAAAAAAACTTTTATTTGCCTCCCCCAACGTCGTTTTCACAAATAATGGGCTGCTGTCTCTGCCATATGGTTTTAAAAAGTCACTCGGAGCAAAAAGACAAACAAAAAACTTACTCAGAGCACAACTAAATACTGTTATTTTCATAATATAAAAATAACTGAGTTAGCTACCGCAGAGTCTTCATGCCCTCTCCCAAATAATGTTCAAAAGGCACTTGGGTGGGAAGACCCTGTTGCCTGAATTATGCTGGCAACACTTTAGGAACACGTTGAAAAAGACTTAAAGCATGTAAATCCAGAGGTGGAAAATAAGACTGTACAGATCTCAAAGTTTGGACAGAGGTGGATTAAGTGCTTTCAGGTACCAGAAGAAAAGTGCGCGGGAGGGGAGATAAAACATACAACGGACCCAAGGTAGCAGCCCACGGGCAGCTGGGTGTGCAATAGCGGTGGGGCCGGCGGAAGGGAGCGACAGACCCTCAGTCTTTCTGCCACTTGTCTCCACCACTTTTCCTTGCTCTTCTTAACGCCTTTCTTATCTCACTTCTCCCCTTTACCACTTTCTACTTGCCCCTCTCTTCCTAATCTTTGTTTTGAACCACTTTTCAGGTAATTAGCCCCAGCTGGAAAACAGCCCCAACCTTCCTCCTCCCTCACCCGCCCTAGTCCAGGTTCCGGCTGAGCTCCTCTCAGCTGGGACCTTTACCCCAGCTCGGCAGCCCAAGCAATGGGGGTGATCCACTTCGTGAGCCCTACTGAGGGCTGGCCTCTCCACGACGCCAGTCGACTCCTCACCCTCTCCTTTCCGCCAACCGCACTCCCCCGCCCCGCCTCATCCCCAAAGAAACCCAAACTCCGAGGCTTAGAAACTGTCAGTGCTCCCCAGACCGCTGCCGGGATCCAAGATTTTCCCGACCCGTGTGGGGTCGCGTCGGGGAGGACATTACCTCTTTGCAGGCGTGAAGCTCCGGCGCCGCTCCCCGAGTCACCTGGAAGGCAGTCCCAACCCAGAGCAGCAGCCGCAGGAGCCGTAGTGTGCGCAGCTCAGTTGTTCCTCCGCGGGCGGCAGAAGGATGGAGCCTGCGCCCAGGCTCAGCCATAGCGTCGTCCTGAGCTAGAGGCAGCCGCGGCTCAGGTGCTGTGGCCGCTGCTACAGCTGGCGGAAGGCAGAAAAATAGGGGCGGGAGGTTCACAGGGGGTGGATGCAAGGGGCTGGGCTCGCTTCAGTCACCTCCCTGCGGCTACGCCACGGCCGCCCATCCTTCCTCCTCCCTCCTACCTCTTCTCCCCGCCTACCCGCGTCGCCTAGGCAACCGCCTCCTCTTTCCTTCCGCGCGGTTAGGGTAGGGACCACGCGCTCTTCTGCCGCTCACCTGCCCGTCGCCATGGCAGCCGCCGCCGCCGCTGGCTAGCGCTGCGTGGCAGTGCGCGCGCCGGGGCATCAGCATCCTGCCCAACCGGCGGGCGCAGGGCTCGTGAAGGAAGGCGATGGAAACATCCTCCAAGCCATTGCCGCCAAATTCATATTATACAAGTTGTAGCCGAGAAGAGCGGTTTCGGTGACTCTTACCTACTGCAACAGTCGCTTCTGGAGCTCTTACTTCCACTTGGTCAAATCCATCCGTGCCTTTACAGTCAGCTCTATGCGGAGTTCAATCGAGTTTAACCAAGAGAGTTTGCCTTACACCATCAATTTTCCAAGCACGACAAGTGGGGTTCCCTGCCATCTTGACACCCGATTCCCTCTCGGCTTTGCAATAACCCTTTTTGTTAATTCGAGAAGAAAGTTCTTGAGTCCTTTTTAGTACTTCTTTCCTCAACCGGAGTCTTTTGCAAAAGTTTTGTACGACGGGATGTGGCGTTTTTCTACTAAGGTTCATGAAAGCAAATCCAAGCTTCCTCGCACCCTCAGCCGCTGTTCCTCCTGGTTCCCAGCAGCTTCCTCTCAAATGGCAGCCCTCATCCGACCGCCAGGGGGCGCCAGTCTCGAAGGGCAGCCTCCTCAGTCATAGCTGGCTGGGCAGTTGCCTGACGACCGAATCTGGGCGTTCCAAACAATCGCGACCCTGGATCCCCTGCGCACAAGGTTGTGAGCGGCTGCTCGGGCCTCCCAACCCCCAAGAGAGCGCCGCCTACGGCATTTTACCATGGCTCACACCCGAGAGCCTGTCCAGAACCCTGCGTTGAAAAACGATAATGCCTTCTCGGGAAAGGTGCGGGGTTCCAAGGTACTGAGATTTCCGCAGCAGATTCCCCAGAGGGTCGACGGCTCTCCTCTTCCTATAGACGTGACGTGACCGGCAGAGTTGGTAACTTAGATGACTGCTGAGGACACTGAGTCAGGAATCGAAGAAGTTTGTTTCACCTACTTCCATGTCCCCACATTCAGGTCGGCTAAGTTTTCTATGTACCTTGGGTCAGAGAGAAGTGGAGTAAAAGGGACTTTCACCACCTAGAGTAGCGATCTGAATAAGCAGTGGCGCTGAAACGGACCTGGATTTCACCGGGGTACGGAAAATTGCTTTCCGAAGTGATGAGATATGGAGCGGGAGAGAATCCTCTGGAAGCCACGAGGTCATGCTTTGTCCATGTGGCCCTTTCTTCTGGTTAATACTAGGGTGTGTGTGTGTGTGCGCGCATGTGCGCTTATGTGGGTTTAATGATGTCAGTGATATGGAAACTTAGATCACCTTTTTTGGTAGAAGTGTTTGCGATGTTTGAAATGGTGCAAAATAATGTGAACATTAAGTGGTAAAGTGGCTTAATAACAGAATCAAAACACCTCCTTTTGCTTATTCAGCATTTGTTTTTTACTATGTACCAGACACACTGCTAGACACTGAGAATAGATAACAATAAGGTAGAGTTCCTGCTCTCGAGGAATCTGTTTAAAAAAAAAAACAAAAAAGGCAAAAGTGCTTGCACAATGGGATGTGTTGTGAGGGTGACAACGGGAGTGTGATGAGAACTGGAAGTTCAAAGGAAAACTTTGAGTTTTGACATCTAAATATGAGTTAGCTGGGCCAGGGGAGGGAGACAATGAAAGGTGACTTAGGAAGAAGGAAATAGGCACCAGACACGGAAGGTAAAGGGAGAAGCAGGGAAGGAGAACGAGAGTGGCCTGTTTGGAGCTGACTCCAGAATGGCTGGGAGGTGGGTGTGAAAAGCAGAGTGGAGAGAGCAGGCGCTGGGGAACCGTCCCCTGTTGGGTGTGCTGTGTGCACCGTGGTTGCAGTGAGCTTGGATTTCTTCCTGCAGGCCCTGGGGGTCACGCTGAGATTCCAAACGCTGGGTTACACAGTCAGTGGGCATTTCAAAAAACAGAAATAGCAGTGGATTGGACAGGATGTGAGCCGGACAAGGGGGATCAGCTGGGAGTCGGGAGCCCCAGGAGGCAGCTCTGAGGTAGTGATGCTGGAGGTGGCAATAAAATGCAGACCTGAGGAAGACACAAGGCAGAACTGATGGGGCATTGTGGCTGACCGGATATGGGGCCAAGAGAGAGGACAAGCCTAGGGTAATGTTTCTGAGGGTTTAATCAATACCATTCAAGGCATCCGGAGGAAGCTGTTTTGGGGAGAAAGATGTGGAGATCAGTTATGCTGTTTTTGTGGTATGTGGGGGGCGGGGGGCGGGGACCAAGTAGACTGTGTGGTTGAGAGCTGTGGGTTGAAGATGTATATACATCACATACCTGGAAGTCACAGGATCCATATGGAGAGAAGGAACTCATCCAACCAATTGTGAGAGTAAGAAAAACAGGAACAAAACCCCTATGGAGAATGCCACTATTTCAGGGGCAAAGAGAAAAAATAGAGCTAAGAGAAAATAGAGGCACAAGGAAATCTGAAAGGAGTTGCACCCACAAATGGAACTGGACCTACAGAGGATGGAGAGGATGTTTTCATGGAATCCAAATTGTGGTACCAGAAACTGCAGAGGTCAACTAAGACCAGCTCTGTCTGCAAGGCTTCACCTGACTTAGCTGCAAAAAATCTGGGGTCGCTAGCAAGAAGGATCTCAGTGGGTGCTTGAGGCAGAGTTCAGACTGCAAAGAGCTAACACAGGGCTGGGAAAGAGGAGAAAGTGGAACAGTAGGGAAGAGAATGGTAGCTAGAATGTTCTAAAGAAATTGGAGAGAAGGGCCTTCCCTGGTGGCACAGCAGGTTAATGTATAGCACTATGAAGCTCTCAGTAGCCACTGCAGCATGAGTTTGATCCCCGGCCAGGTTGCTGACCCACATGGCGCGGCAGACCTCTCCTGTCTCCCCGCTGCTCCCCTCAGCAGTGTACTTCGTCGATCTGCCTGTTCTGCTCCCCACTCTGTCTCTGG